CTGGGTCTCGGGCATCTTACAGCAGCCAACACAGCCACCTTGGTTCCGAATTGAGGGCACTACAGTCTCCAGAACACCACATAGATCCCATATATGAAGACAGAGTGTATCAGAAGCCCCCTATGCGGAGTCTCAGCCAGAGTCAGGGAGACCCTTTGCAGCCAGCCACCTATCGCACTAGTACAGGTATGTACTCACTTCAAAGTTTTACTCTTTCAAATAGTATTCTTTTGGTTGTTATTTATTTTCATGTTAGGTGCCTAAATTACTTTCACCCAGCTGATACACACACACACACACACACACACACACACACACACACACACACACACAAAGTTCTATACATGAGTATGTGTATCAAAGTCTACTATTATTCAACCACACCCAGGGGTAACAAGAGAGCCATAATAGGGATTCAATCCATCAGGCGCAATTAAGCAATTAGATATCTAGCTATGAGGTCAGTAGCAGTATGTTCAAGTGTATTTTGATATTAAGTCAACTTAAAGTAGGTGATGTTGATCCTTTTATTCTTGTTAATAATTTATTTATTAGATATGGGTATTCCTAAAGAGTAAAATTAAAAGACAAGGCTATAAAACATATTGCTTTCACTTTTTTATAAGCCACTCTTTATTTTTGGAAGACTAAAGATGGCAATTTACACATATATTTTGTTTATAGTACATTTCTAAGTTGTAGGCCTATATTTAAACATAATAAATTTGTGTAGCTAAAGGGAAGAACTTTATTTGCATTAAAATTAACAAATGTGCACACATTCAGATCACATGATACACATTAAAAATGAGTGTCTTATCTCATGATATACATTGAATAATTTGTTTGGTTCGCTTCTCAGGTTCAAGTGTGCCAGTGGTAGGGCTAGGGGGAAAAATATTAAGCTAAAATGTACCTTAACACATATTAATATGAAATATTTTCTAATGTTTATCAAATTTTGATTACATGTTTAAAGTTCATATTCATTTAAAATTATTTAATGCTGCATATTGCTATGGGGAGGTCTTAAAACCTGGGATATACTAATATTAGTATCTAGAGCTAAACAAGCCAGAGTGCTACAGAGTAGGGGAAGAAAAAACTTATAATAATTCTGATTTATCACTGAGTGATATATAGTACTTTTGCTAAACTGCATTGATATCAATTATATGTTTTTCATTGTCAAGTAAAAACAGCATATGTATTTGATTATTAGAAATTTACAATTCAATACCTTTTTGCATCATAAAAAGAAAATGACAAAATACTAATTATTTATCTTCAAGTTTGGCAATGTAAATGCTAGCTATAATTATTAATAATCTAACATTTCTACATAAATCAATAATTATTTTCTGTCACTTTCTGCCCTAATATAGCCAACTATGGGTCATGTTTAAAAGCTACACTTTTTGATCTTGATTAATAAAGCTTTTTTTCCCTTTAGTACTCACTTCTTTTAAACAAACAAAAAACCCACTATATTCTATTAACTTCCCCACTGACTTTCGTAATAATTGGTGACTATGAACTGACATGCATATCCTTATAGTTTATAATTTCCAGGGAATTTAATGGAATGTTGGATATTTTCAAGAAAAATATTTAACTTTATATTATCATTATTAAAATAACAAAAGTAAATTTAATTTTACTTTTAAAATTTTATCCCTTCTTTGAAAGGTCAGTAGAAAAGCATCTATTTTTTATGTTGCATTTCAAAAATATATCAAAATGTCTTCTTACATATATGTGCTGGTTAATGGCAGTGAGAAATTGCTAGGATCATGTCATTGCCATTTTTTCAAGACTCTTCCACAGTCTTTCTCTGGTGATTTGTAGTGACTCTGAACTACCCCCAAATAGTTTGGATTCAGGAAACTTGCAGCTATCTGTACATTGTCTACTCTTAGTATAACTTTTCTAGCAACTGAACCCAGAACCCCAAAGAAGAAGATTATAAATACATCCACCCTCTTCCCAACTAAATTTCTGATCCAATCTAGACATCCACCCTCCTCTCACCAGTTGAAGTATTGATGTAATCTAGAAATAACATTGGATTCCTACCTTTAGTACTTCTTCAGTGTTGGTCATTATTCTTTTAGAAATGCAGAATTGCTTGCCTAGGGGTTTGCTAGACCTGTCAGGAACATTACTGAATCAAAGTGGTTATAGATTAATTCCATCTTACAAACCCGAGTCTCCTTATTTTTCTCTGGAATCTGGAGTTAAGGAACAAGAGTGCCTAACTAAAGTGACTCCTAAGCCAATTAACTCTCAGCTAACTAACCAGTTCTAGCTAATTCCATGCAACAAGCATTTTTAGAATATCTACTAGATCCCTTGCTTTGTTTTAGGCATATGAGAAGTCCAAAGAAAGGAGTAAGCATAGTCACTAGATTTAGTTGGGAAAATAATATGTATTTGCCTGAAAATGAGAAAATATTTCTAATGTTTTAGAACTATGAGACTGATTTATAAGGAGCTATCAAGCAATATGTTATATAGTTTACCTGTAAATGCTTAGACTTCTTAAAGAATTTCACATAAATTCTAGTCAGGAAGAACAACATGAGTGAAAACACAAGGTGCGGGGTGAAGGGGTGGGGAAGAAAACAAACAGGCTTGTAAGAAGAATGACCTTAAAAAAAAACCAAGCTATTAAGGGGCTCATCTTTAAAAGAACTGAGAAGTAATGAATTAGTTTAGGTGATTAAAGTGGTTTTATTTGAGAGGTGTTTTGAAGATTAGGATGAAAAGTTAAGAACTGATCTGGTAGGCTTCCAAAAATCAATCTGGTATGCAAAAAGCTTCATGTTATCTATACACATTCTCAAATGTCAAGATCATTTTGTCTAATATTAAATTTTAGTCACTGCAAATTAAGTTTTAAAGTTATTTAAAGGAAAAATGAAAGTACCATCTTCCACAAAAGATTATTATAGGTTTGCTGATAGTCAAGTAAAGCATTGATAATTTGCCAGTTGACTCCTGCATACAAAGTTGATTCCTTGTACAAGGTAGCAGTGGAGAACACAAAGATATAAAAATAGTATCCAGTGTCACTAATGTAACAGAGATTTTAATTGAGCCTGACACAAGGTAGACACATTAAAACAAAAACAAAACAATCCAAAACCTGAGGGCTACAAAGTAATATAACAAAGCGCCAAACAAGCAGTAGAGACGGTAAGTGTTTGAGGAAGTCAGTAGGATGTTTCACAGTGATAATCCTGGCTCCCACTGCCTGGAAGCTGAGTGTTCTATATTTCACCTCTCTTACCACGATTCTCTGGCTGTAGCCCACAGTGATGGTGTCCCACAATTTTCGTAGGGATCTCTTCTACCCCAGACACACTTAATCATTTACTTGAATTAGATTTTACCGAGGAATGCTTACATCAACGGAATAAATAACAAGAGTAAATTTACAAACATCCCCCCAACACCTGGATATATAATCCCCTCCATGCACCACCTCAGTCTCTAGGAAAAGGGAATAAGTTTACAATTTAGCTCATTTCCTACATAACACATTCCCAAGTTCCAGGTCCAAAGCTTCCCACCTTGGGCTTGAGTCTCAGACATTCCCAGGCCTAGCTGGCTGTACACCCAGCCTTGAATCTTGGCTCCAAAGTCACATGGCTTGATTCCAGGTCCAGTGGAGATTCTACCACACCTGTGCCAGAACTGAAAGGAAGAACAAATGAAACAGAGCAAAGAGAAAGCCCAAGCCCATTTTTCAAGGCCACAGGGCCTAAAATTTCCCCTCATCAGCTCAATTCCTGGCACCAATGTAGTGGGTAAACTTGGACCTTCACCCTCTCAAGGCACCATGGAAAGAAAAGAAAAGAAAATGCCCCCCTCTGGCAGGGGTGTGTGTGTGTGTGTGTGTGTGTGTGTGTGTGTGTGTGTGTGTGTATGAAAAGATATTTTGGCTATGCAGCCAATTGAAAGAAGTTACTCCTACCCACTGTGGAATGCAAAATCTGTTCTTTCACAAGCTGTTCCCATCATTCTAGGTGATCTGGGCTTGTGTAGTAATTCAAAAATTCAAAATTATAATAAGAATTTATTTACAACATTAGATTTGAAGAAATAGATTTCTTTTCAAAATATATCTGATGTCATTAATCAAATTACTGTTTGTGTGTGACTTTCATTAAAAAAAATAATACTAATTCTTGAAATGCTAATGAACAAACACAAAAACTCACCTTCATTCATTGAAAATTCTCTCATTAAAAAAAAAATTCCAGATTCTTTGAGTAAATGTATTTGGAGCTAGAAGATCTAGGCATTTGTCCTGGTTCTGCTGTATGTGATTCTTATGACATAGTGAGTTTGTGACTCACTTAAACTTGCTGGTTCTAGAAGGCTGGACGAGATGACCTATAAGGTCTCTGCACCAGCTCTAAATTCTTTGAGCCCATGAATGAGTAGTTCAGATAAACATTTTTTTTAAAAAAAATGAAGCATACATCTTGGTGATTTTTCTATTCATGTATCAGATAGTCCAAAGTGGAATGCATGTGTTATAAGTACTGGAGATTATTCTTTAATGATTGACTCATATTATTATGATTTTTTTGTTTCATACAGTTAAATGCCATGCTGTTACATCTGTAGTTTAATAGGAACAACTTTCATAAGTGATAATGCATAATGTTATATGTCAAGTTAATGGATATTGGGGGGGGGTTGAAGAAAGGAAAAGGCATACTTCTCAAGCGAAGCTAGATAAACTCTAAAGTGCTTATACAAAGTATACTTCTAGAACCCAATAACCTTAGTCAATTAATCTTCCAATAATTGAATGAGTAGGACTGAATACGTAATGTTGCTTCTGGTGTTGTTAATAACTGCTGACCAAGATACTTGGTTTGTATTAGTGTGAAATGGGACAAATCTACTTAATATGAACAAATTCCATAAACTAAATTGTTACATTGACTAATCACCTCATAAAAATTCTGCATTTTCCTCATAATTTACTGATTGATTTAAAACATTTTCAGGAACTGTTTTAAAAGTAAATGAAAACTTTCCAATATTTACATAAAGTAGAAAAAATAAAAAGAAACTAGCAAGAATTACTTTGTGATTGTATACACAAATATAAATATGCAAGGGCAAAAAGATATCTACATAATGTTAAGACTTTCAAGTGCCCATCA